ATACTTCTCCCAACTTGGTGCTCCATCGTCTCGTCCTAGATCGGTAAGTTGTTACGGGCTATTCATCCATCAATTGAACCCTGTGAATATGTCCACTAGGGACATTTTCACATTCTTTTACAATTTGAATTCAACGCCCTCCTTTTTTTCCTTTTTCCCCTCACCAAGTCCCTATTTATATGCGACTTCCTTCTACTCTGGCTTAAGTGAGCATTTTTTGCCCATTTGGGCTCAATTCTTGATTGGGAGAGAACTGTTCCATGACATCATAACTGGGACAAATGCCAAGGCAGGGGTTGAGATATATGCTCTCCAATTTTTTGCTCGCAAGCTTGGTTTTAGCCAAATGTGGCATGTTCTTCCCTATTATTCTAGAAACTTAGCAGAACGTTTTCATACTATAAATAAAACCGAGGCATAAGCCATTGATACCTGTAATATTCTTTTGACCAAAGATTTTTCTTTGGATCCTTTCATTCCCACAGCTGTCACTCATCTTCTTTTTGACCAACTTTGGCCATCGATGAAACGCAGGTTGTTCCAACAGATGCTAATCGTGCCTTCCACTTGCTGGATTGGCTAGAGACTTCCTCTACTTCTCTTATTCTGGCCATTCTCGTGTCCATTAGGAATACTATTTCTCCTTCTCACTCATCACCTGTTTGTGCTAAACATCATATTCTTCCATCTAGTTCCCCATCTGCTCAATCTAGTACGGCCAATGGTGCTTCCAGCCACAAACGACCAGCCTCAGCTTTACCAATTTTGTAGGGTGATGATGATGATGATGCTCCTCTCATCCTTAGGAGAAAGGTAATTGAGTTTGTTTATTCATGAAAAACAATCATTCATAGGTTAATGCTTTACCTGAATTTTTCCAGAAGAGTTCAACTTTCCCTTCGAAGGCTCTAGTCTTAGCAACCCTTGCTCCATCGCCTCCTACTGAAGTTGCTTCATCCAAGTCATCTGATGCAGGGGCTCTACCTAAAGATAAATCCATAGCCCCAGAGTCTTCACCACAGCTAGTTGGAGAGCTGTCACCTTCACAGGGCGTTGACCCTTTAGTGTTGAACCAGAATGTAATACATATCTTAGTGTCTTTACCCTTGCTTGTACTATTAGCCTTTGATTCATTGCTTCTTGAATTCTGCAGAGGTTTCCATGGATCTGCCCGCCGTGGCAGGGCTTGCTCGTCCAGATAAGGGAAAGTCTCCACAGGTGCCTGAGTCAACCAGTAACGTGCCCGAACTTTCCAAAGTTGCTGATGAGCTAGCCTTTGTTTCATTTTTTTATCTTCACTTCATTTACTGCAGTGAAAATGCTAAATGCTTGCATTTTTCTTTATAGGATATTGATGCCATCGTGCGCTCCATCCAGGACTTAATCACTTCTTGGGAACAAGTAAGGACATATCGCCCTTTCTCCAATCAGTCATCCTTCTGCTTCTTCTACTACAATCTCAAAAGAAAACATGAAGGTTCTCAAGTAATCAGTGCTCGAATACGTTTCTTTCATGGACATGAATATCGGCAAAGTCAGTACTGCTAAACAAAGAGATAAATTTGAGCTTTTGAGTGCAAAAATGACTCAAGCACTTAAGCTTCCTTCGTTTGACATTTCATCTGACATTAAGGTGACGTTGAAAATTATCCATTCCAAAATTAGCTCTTTGTTATATAGGAACGTCGAGTTGAAGGCCAAGAGTACTCAGTATCTCTATGCTGTGTCTGAAAATGAGTCTTTTCTTCAAGAGATTGATAAAGCCAAGGTTGAATTAAATGAAATCTCCTTTAAAGTTATGGTCGAGGATTCCTTGATGATAAGCTTAGCTGTAGAGATGAAGGAACTCCAAGTAAAGATGGACGACTGTAGGGCTAGATTAGCTGTCAAGAAGCGTAATGATTCCCAAGGAATTGAGCGAACCAAGTCTTTGGTTGATCGTTATACAAAGCTGGAAGTTGACGAGGATGTTGCAACTGAGTTGTCTGCTGTGTCTTCTAAGCAGAGTGATGAATGGGGGAAACTTCGTGAACAAATGCGTTCAGTTTGGGGTAAACTGTAATTAAGATATTGATGCCTTTATTTTCCATGAAATTTCGTGCTNGAAACGTCGTGAACAAATGCGTTCAGTTTGGGGTAAACTGTAATTAAGATATTGACGCCTTTAGTTTCCATGAAATTTCGTGCTGGCAGCCACTGTTAATTCGAATGTAACAACAGCCAATGTCATTAATGGAATGACTATTTTATTTACTTGCATAATAATTGACGTCTTCTTCTATCGTTAACCTCCCAAGCATTTCATTATCTTGTGCTACACTCGTGTACATTATCTTTGGTATCCAAAGGGAGTATTATTTTCCAAACCAATTCGCCCAAACTAAAAGATTTGAC